GGGGCTTGACTGTCCGCTCTCTGCATTCCTTCAAAGGCCCTGTCAGTAGATGTTACCACCTGATTACTTTGAAACTCTTCCTTTGCTGAGTTTTTACCTTTGTTTCCCATTGGATGCATGGTTTTTGTCTTGTTATCAAGCTTGAGAGAGAACTGTTCTCTTTCTTTTTCACTCTGCTAATTCTGAGCCTACATATATACTTCTCTTGGAAAGGAATATCAGGACTTCCCCAGCAGTCCAGTGGTTAAGACTCTGCTGCACTTCCAGTGCAAAGGGTGCAGGTTTAATCCCTGGTCAAAGAACTAAGATCCTACATGCTGTGCACTGCAAACAAACAAAATTTTAAAAAAGAAAGGACTCTCACTATCACTTTGTTATCTCTTCTCCATCCCAAATTGTGTCTTCCACTGTTCCTTGCAGGCCTTCCTCATCTCTCCGTCCCCTTGACACTTAAACACCTATATGTACCAGGTGCGTTAGTGGTAGGTGCTCCTGCGTGTCATCCCAACAAGCCTGTGAGATAGATTGCTGTCGCCCTTTAGCAGATGAGGTGCAGGAAGAAACCTGGGGTAAGACATTGATATTAATAGTTGAAGGAGGGATAAGAGGGTAAGTGGAAACCTATTTTCTCTCTCTTTTTTTTTTTTTTGCAGCTTGCTCTTTTATTACAGCCACAAGGGGTGTGTTTGCTTAGAATGCTGGCTTCACTCCAGTGATTCAATTACTGTCGAGGCCTTGATGACTTGTGATTCACATTCTGGGGCTTCCTGGTACCTTCCTGCCAGAGTGTGCTCTATGGCACACTTGCCATCCCCACCCTTCTCTCCCTGCTTCAGGCCCCTCTAGACAAAGATTAAAATGCCCACATTTCCCTAATGTGACATCTTGTTCCTAGGAATTTCTAGGAAGCTGAGAATTCAGATGAATAATAGCATTTGAGCCAATGCAGAGCATTTGAATAGCTAACTGTACTTTGCTACTAATGCTGTGTTTATTCAAATCTCTCAGCCACATGTCAAACTGAAAACCAGGCTGCAGAAGCAAGAGCCAGGGTTTTGTCAGACCTGTGGTTCTACACAGGGCAGGAGCAGGCCTGGGCCCTTCTGGGTAGGATGGACCCCTAGGGACTCACGATGTTCACATGCTAACCTCAGTCCTGGCCTAGTAGCTGCAGCAAGAACATTCTCGCTTTGCTTGTGGATATGACAGGGGAGACCTGTCTCCCAGAGCACAAGACAGACAAACAGATGCCTTCTGCACCAGAAAGAGTTTTGTACAAATGTGAAGCCATCAGCAAGGCCACAACTCCCGGTCATGGGGTGTCAAGGTCACCCTTGATTGGAACCACATCATGGACTGTTCAGTGATGCCCTGAGTGTTTGTGAATCTAATTAATTGGAGTTGCATTCTTTCATGATACAGTAGCAAGTGTGACTTCCAGGATACAGAAGCTTACGAGCTGGTTCAAGGCTCTAAGCTGGATGAACTGGGAGCACGTTTTTCTAATTTTAGTTGCCTCATCTATAAAACAAGGATGAAAAAGTAACACACCTTTCAGGCTGAGAGTAAGGCTTCATGGATGAATGTAGATGAAAGTACATTTATGCTCTGAGGTTCCATACGAATATCAGGTGGTGTTTGTCTTGGAAGCTATTCTTGGAATAAGAATAAAGCAAGTTTTTTCAATCCAAGTAGTAGCACAAACAAACAGCCAGACATCCATGCTGTTGAGGGAAGACCAAAGAAACCCTCTGAGGGTGCAGAGACACTCAGAGATGTTTGTGTCCCAGTCTCTCCATCTGGTTCTGCCCCAGCCCAGCTGTTGAGGCAATGCAGAGCAGCTGCAAGAGGGGAGGAAGTCCTCAGGAGACCTCCGGCTCCTGTAAACACCGCCCACCAGCCCGACGTCAAGCAGCCCATGACCTTGCTCTCAGACACGTGAGGCAGCTCAGCCACCCGAGTTCCTTGAAGAGGCTCCTTAGGTTAAAACAATGTAATTTTGATTTGACTTCTCCATTGGAAGCATGTTATCATAAGAAATGATGTACTTAAAAAAGAAAGAAATGATGTACTTTTCCAGTGGCCCAGTGAACAACTTTTTCTAAAGGGGTCTGCAATAGAAGGGAACAGGCGGCCCTCTGAGGGAAGGCTGTCTGTGAAGGAGCCCGTGAGAACACAGGTCAGAAGTGGGGGGGGCTGTCAGGGCCCCAAGCTGGCAAGCACAAACTGTGAACCGCTGGCTCTTTTTCATCCTGACTGTAATACAGTCAGGAAGTTAAGTCCTCTGCGTACCAGATGCAAAGTTTCTCACCAATTTTAGGAGGACCTACCCAAGCATTTTATAAATAAAGCCTGACTGTGGACGATTTGCTTATGGCCACGTGGGTGGGAGCCATGGCTGACCCAGTCCTGATACGTGTGTGAAATGTTCCACAGTTACAGGAAAACTTGCTCAGGCCTTGGAAACTCTATGCCCTGGAGGTTGAGACAAAGAAGAGAATGCTTGGTGTTATTTTCCTGTGAAGGGAACATTAAGAAAGTCCTGAGGGTGCAGCCTGGAAACCACAGACGACTCAGAAAGGGTGTCGTATTTGCATTCTGGAGGCTGGGGGCCAATCCTCCGAACCGGTGCCAGCTGGCAGGGGAGCCCAGCTTAACGTGCTCCAGGGAACAAAACCAGTGTGGTTTTGAATCTGAGCACTCAGACTGTTCACGGAGGGGCTGCTTGCTGCCTTAGACCCATTTCAAAGGCTCTATTAACAAGTGCTTGCTGGGAGCATGGAAGGGGCTGGACCAGGCCGCTGGGTATGAGCAGAGTCACCAGGAGACCCTTGGCCTCTCCACTGGGTGTGGCAGGATGACTGAGGAATCGGAGGAAGAGGCAGCTAGTCTGGAAATGTGTTGTAACCCAGTCGCCCAAGGCAAGGCCACTATGTCCTGTCACATGACGGCTGCTCCCAGTTTCCTGTGTGGCTTGGGCTCCCTTACTCTAAGGGAATCCTCAAGACGGCTGTCTCCAGCCATTCCATTCTGCCATGACACCAGAGTGCCACAGAACTGCTTAGGGCCAATGCCCACCCAGACTGGTCATTCAAAATCCTAGAGGCCTATTGACCAGGGGGGAGGCAGATAGGTACACAGGGGATTCCCATTACTTCTGCTGGGTGGGACCCCTAAGGATAAATACAGTGTGTGTGGAGTGCTTTGGTCCTTTGCTAAAAACTACATGTGCACCAGTGAATTGAATCCTCAAAAGTCACAGTATCCCTATATTAAAAATGAGAAAACACAAGCTCAGAGAAGTTAAGTAACCCGCCTAGTTTCACCCAGCTAGTAACTGGAAGGCAGGGTCCAAACCAGGGGCGTGAAGCTTGCTAATTAGGATTTCAAAGTTCTGCAGGCAGTTAAAAGCGCAGTTGTATTTGGGCATTTGACCCAAAGCTGCCTCTGACCTCAGAGGGTGCAAGCCCTACCCAAGTCCTTGAACTCGGCCACCCGGAGCATTCTGAGTGCAGTGGATCTCCGGTGGGTGCCGCCGGAGCTGCGGGCAGTTTGTTTTCTGCAGCCTTGTGTGGTGTGAGCCTTTATAGCATATACACTGTGTGCGTTGCAGCCCCTCCAGAAGGCTGAGTCAGCCTGGGTTTGCTGCTGGCGCCAGACTTTGCTGAGCCCCGGGCATAGCATGGGGAGACACACCTACTGTCCACCTGCTCTGAGTCATAAAACTGCCACACTGCTGCCAGACCTGCCAGCTCTGCGATCTCTTCTGGTGCCACCGCACCGAGAGAGGACCTGGCCATATATGGCAGGGGCACGGGGCAGTGCCTTTCCCTAGCCCGCCTTCCCGCTGGACTCTGCTGTGGGACAACTAAACAGGTCGAAGCTCAAGGTCCAGAAGTTTCCTTTGCTTTGCACCAGCTGGCTGGGGAGACAGAGACCGAGGGCAGCCTGAAAGCCACGGGCTCAGACCCGAGAGGAGAGTCAGCCCATGAACGTGCAGTGGAAGCGTGGGGTTAGCCAGTGCCCTGGCCACCAGGATGAAGCCAGAGAGATCAAAGTCGGGGGGAGAGGGCAGCGGGGGAGGGGACTGATGAAGTTCCATTAAATATCTCAGGCTTGAGGCTGTATCCCATATGACTTTTAGGTCTATCATTGAGAGTCTTTCAGCTGAAAGGTTCCTACTTTTTTCCCGATTAAGGGCTTCCTTATCTGCCTAACATTCTCCAAACGATTGCAAATCTTGATATCTCCTAAAAATGCACCCTTTGTGTAGAGTTTTCCAGAAGCCCTCTCATTTGCCATTTTTCTGTTGCCAGGACTCGCATCAGTGCAATAGTTGGGTCAGAGAGCCAAAACAAAATGAATCTAAACCTTCTATTAAGGTACATGGCAGTAATTACGTTACCCTGCACACGGGACATGGCCCATGTGTGCTGGAGGCCTTGAAATTACCGTGGATGTTTTTGTGTGTTTCCCCTTAGAAGGCCCTAAGAATGGCTATTTTACGCTGCATATAGGGCACAAGATTAAACTACTAGTACTGGATTTTTGGCACAGTGGTAAAGAACCGCCTGCCAACGCAGGAGACACAGGTTAGATCCCTGGGTCGGGAAGATCCTCTAGAGAAGGAAATGGTAACCCACTCCAGTATTCCTAACTTGAAAATTCCATGGACAGAGGAGCCTGGCGAGCTACAGTCCATGGAGTCACCAAGAGGCAGACATGACTGAGCGACTAAGCATACCACCTACTGGGTTTCTGCAGAGGAAAGATTCACGAAGGTGCTCAAAAGTATTACCACCTTAAACCTTGAGGCCACCACTCCCACTTCCGAGGGACTTTGTGGTGACTGCCTCCAAGAAGCTATGGTGACCCGAAAGGCATCCTTTTCCCCTCGAGTAACACAAAGCATTACGAATGTCTAAACAACTTAAAGATGACTGCTCTTCACCTTTTAAAAAAAGTTCTCTTAAATTTCAGGTGAAAACCATTAACTGAAGATGTCGAGCAAGACAGCCAGCACCAACAACATTGCCCAGGCACGGAGGACTGTGCAGCAGTTGAGAATGGAAGCCTCCATCGAAAGAATAAAGGTAAGAGCCTTGAATGGGTCAGATGTGTTCCTCACCATCTCCCTCTGCTCTCCTGAGGCCAGGCCATGTTTCTGAGAAGATAAGGCCATATAATTCAGCCAGGTGCCATGATTTTCTCTGAGCAAACTGAGAGTTTCCGAGTCTTAACTTTCTTTTCTACATAGCATGGGCAAGCCAATGTGTCTGAAGTGAGCCTGTCTGTCTGGACAGAAAACCTAAAACCCGTGACAGGATTTCCTGAGGACTTGCCTTCCCTGGGCACACATGGCCGAGCCTTCTGGCACTGTGTTCTTCCTGGGGACAGGGCTTCCAGGTGGACTTTATATAAACAACCTCGTCAGCCCTCTGGAATGTATGAAGTGTTCTGGAGTTATCACTACAGCCGAGGGAGCCTTGCATAACAAGTCAACGGTCCGGTGTCCTTTTGAGGAGAAGGCACTTTTTCAGTGTGTGTGAACTTTGATGACCACAGTCTGCATCCAGAGCGAATAGTGCCAGCCTTAGTTGAGACCTGGAGGAAACCAGAAGGCATCTGATGGGTCACCTGACTTTGAAGTCATTTCCCCAAAAATCCCCAGAGAGGGCTAAGCAGTGAGTGCCTTGGGAATGTTGTGAGTAATGCTGTTTCCTAGATACTGAAGCAGTCACCTGATAAATTCCTCTGGGCCTGGAGACAGTCACCTGTCTTCAAAACAGGAGGCTGCCTATCCTGTATTTGCCAGGGCCCAGCTGGCCTGTGCCCCTGGCCTAAGGACACTGGTCTGATGATTCTAACGGGTCTCCTACCCAGACCTCTGAAGAAGGCATGATATTTCCACTTCTAACTCATGCCAAAGTAAGGTGCTACATCTTTACATGCTGGTTTTGTCCCTCTTTTTATTTCCCCCATCTTTAATGGTAAATCTTGACACTCTACCAGAATTTGGCTCTGTTCTTCCTGAGATTTGGCTCTGAGCCCTTATTTCAGTGTTTTAACTCTGTTCTCCTCTGCATTCTAATTGATTTATTTTTTTTTAATTGGGTAGAAGCTAAGATACAGCCTTTCTTTGAATCAGACGCTTTTCTTTTTCCCCTCCTCCCAACTTTTTATTTTGAGAAATTTTAAACCTACAGAAGAGTTATAACAATAGACACCCATATACTCTTTACCAAGATTCACCAATGAGCATTTTACCGTATTTGTTTTCTGTCTCTGCACACATACAAAGCTGACGTAATTTTTCCTGAAATTTCTTGAAAGTTATTTGCAGACATCATGACTCTTCACCCCTAATACTTTACCATTTGCCTCCTAAGTACAAGAGCGTGTTCCTCTACATAACTACAGTACAGTTATTACACTCAGGATCAGCTGCTGATATCTAACACACAGTCTGGTTTTGAAGATTCCAGGCCCCTCACTTTGCAGAATGGGCCTCACTGCAAATAAAATTGTTTGCTGATGATCAAATTCGGGCTAAAGCTTTGGGCAGGAATATTAGCTGGCTGGTGGCGTGTCTTCTGTACTCAGCCCAAGAGACAGCTGATGTCAGTTTGATCACTTGGTTGAGGAAGGCCTTATCTGCCAGATTTCTGCATTTGGAAGTACCTTTGCCCTTTCTATGTAACAGGTAACCTGGGAGTGATACTTCAAGACTCTGGTTATTCTGTTCTCCAACAGTTTTCCACCCAGTGGGTTAGCATGCAGATACCTTTCGAGTTTGTAAATATTCTCCTTTAAAAAAAAAATTTTTTTTAATCTAAACAGTTGATTTACAGTGTTGTACCAATCTCTGCTGTATAGCAAAGTGACTTAGTGATAAGCTTATATATTCTTTTTTTAATATATTCTTTGCCATTATGGTTTATCACGGGGTATTGAATACAGTTCCCTGTGCTGTATACATGAGGACCTCATTGTTTCTCCATTCTAAATGTAATAGTTGTATCTGCCAACCCCAAACTCCTCGTTCATTCCTCCCCCTCCCTCCCCCTTGGCAACCACAGGTCTGTTCACTATCGATAAATCTGTTTTGTAGATAGACTCATTTGTGCCGTATTTTAGATTCCACATGTAAGTGATAGCATATGGTATTTGTCTCTTTCTGACTTATTTCACTTAGTATGATCATCTCTAGTTGCATCCTGTAAATATTTTGTTTCCTTGGGTTTGTCTACACACCAGGTTTCAAAGGCATCAGCGGACCTCATGTCCTACTGTGAGGAACATGCCAGGAATGACCCCCTGCTGATGGGGATACCAACTTCAGAAAACCCCTTCAAGGATAAGAAGACCTGCACCATCTTATAGAGAAGTAGTGAAGCGGATCCTCCCCTCTTCTCAACAAAGCAAATGATGAGCAGCTCCTTGAAAAGATTTACCTTCAGCTTATTTGGTAACCACTGCTAATAACTAAAATGCTCTTAACTTGGAATTATGGACTCTGAAGTCTTTATGCCTTTTACTCAATTAATACAGAATAATAATCTTGTTTTCCATTTGTTAACTACAGTGTCCTATTAGTTACTGCTGAAGGAAAGTTGGTCTAGCCTTTAGAAAGAAAACAAATATATCAGTGATCCAGTTAAAACCTACATTACCTAAGCAGTCATCTAGATTAAAATGCCAAGGATAACTGGTCCTAAAATTTTTGTCATAGTCTATTAATAGAGTTGTGCCAATCTGTACAGTATATGTGGGTGAGAAGTGTTTTGTGTATATATATATGTGTGTGTTTGTATATACACATCTCAAAGCTTATTTCCCAATTAAAATGTCTCTCCCTCCATACTATCAGTTCAACTCCAGAAGTTATATCTTTATCTCAAAGCTGTGTGTAGGTAGAATCCTTTTCTTGTAGTTATTGTACAAAAAGAGCACCTTACAGCCTGTATTCATCGTAGTTGAGTAATGAAGTCATCTCTCTCCTCTTGAAACCGTGCTGACCTGCCAATCAAAATTTTTAAACTTAACTAAAAGCCCTTTTATAATATGAGCATCCTTTCACCAAGCGATTTCAGATTTCAGTGATCCTGAGTCTATCTAGGAAAGGGGAGGTGGCCCTTGGGGGCACCCTGGGCAGCTGTGCCCCAGGGCTCATGGCCTCTGGGTCGGGGGTAGACACCTGAAGTTCCTACTCTAACCATGGGAACTAGACAGAGCAGCCATGACCATGAGCCCGGCCAAGAGAGGAGCAGGAATGCGTGAAAACCAGCTCCTCTTTGTGGCCTAACTTTTGTGATTTAGCTCGCTTTGTCTGCCTTCCCTCTTATCTTTCCTCTGCAGCCAGATCATGTCTTCAGAGTTAATGTCCACCTCCCCAGCCCCACCTGGGTAGATCATGGTGGGAAAGAAACCCACAAAGAATGGAAAGGTATCAGACACATAAGCTCTTTTCAAGTATCTGCAGCATCCGCGTCATCCCTACCTGGTCCTCACGCCATCAGAGGGGCTTGTTTCACTCCTTGGGCTCACAGTTCCTTGATTTTCCTCTGGGCCTGGATATGCCTGCCACACACGCTCAGAATGGCTATGGGGATCCCCAAAGAAGGTTGTCTCCTGTGGCAGAAGGCATATTGTTAACTAAGAGGAGGAGAGGGTATTTCTAAACACTTAATTATGGGCCCAAAACGTGCACCAGACCTTTAATATTTTAATTCAGTTTCCATTCATTAAAAATTACTCATGAAAAGTTAAAAGTATTCTCAAAAAGGATTCAACCCTGAGAAGGAATTATTTACAATGGTTTTCCCTAGTTCTGTACAGTCTTGCCCTGCAGTGCAAGCCCATTTTTAAATCTAACACCTGAGCTCTGAGTATTGTGTTAGTTGTGGGTGAACAAATACAGTACTGTTTTCAGACTGCTCGAATCTATTCCATATTTCTGCAAGTCACCTATCCAGCATTGTGAACTGCCCTCACTCTTCCAGGATCATGTGGAAATCCTGCCACTGCCCTTCTCTTCTTATCATCTACCCTTGGTTCTGCAAAGGGCCCAGTTTCCAAGTACATTATAGGCACCTGTTGGTGGAGAACGGTTTTTCCTTTCAAAAGGTGAAATTTGAAATATACATTAAGAAGACAACTTTACACATACTGCTTCACTTAATGAGACATTCTTTTTTTTTAATAAGTATTTTTCTACTGATAGTTTCAGAACACTAATCTTATTTTCACTCTGATTTTTACCATGTTTCTTTAAATATTTATAATGTAGCTTGTTACAAAATATTTTCATGAAATTACTTTTATTATACTGTTATATACACATTTTTGGTAGCAAGCATAGTTTATTCTTTAGTACTAAACCATGTTCTTTTCCTTATTAGAAAACAAGTATGGTTTGCTATATATTTGTTAATATGCTTGTAGTGGTAAGGAATGGACTTGAGGTCCCAGGAGATTTTTTTTTTTTTTGCTAGCCAGATATCATAAAGGCTACAAGTATGAACATCATCTAACTTCCTAACCAGGTGTAGGGCATGTTTAAGAAAAGTGATATCAAGTCCTTTGATGCTGGACCCAAGGGGGAAAAAATTGTAGCTAAGTGTTGATTTACTTATTATGAGACGTCTATGTAAGAAAAATATAATATATGTATACATATATATGATATGCAGAAGTCACTTTTATTTATCAGGCTTTATTCTACTAGTAAAGCCACAGTTTAACTATTAGACAGCAGCTGGTTTATAATGATGGACAAATGCCCAATGTGTGTTATTTTTTCCAAACTACCACTATAATGACACAATCACTTATATACATGCAACTTCCTGGCTTCATATCTATGAGGCTATTTAAATATGTTCACTATACTTTGTCTTTAATTGTGCTTCTATTAACAGTGATCTCTTTTTCCATTCTTGATTCTTCTTTAGTTCATCATTAATCTGTCCAATTGACGCCTCAGGACCATGGCAAGAATTTTCATGACTCCAAAGTATTTTACAGACACACACTTTTTTTTTTTTAACAGAGAGAAACACTTTCTATACCACGTGGTTCACAAGCTGTAGGTTTTTTCTAAAAAGAATCAGGTTTTTACATTTCCTTATTATTAAAATGAAAAGTGCCATACTTACCCCGTAAAGCAAAGACCGAATTTGCTTTCTCTCTATTAGGACTATTTTTAAACTTTACTAATCTTTCAACTATCAAAAAAAAAAAAAGTATACCAACGATTTAGTAATTTTGAGGCATAAGTTAGTTTAGGTAGTGGAAGATGTGCCAAACTTTCCCTCCAGATGTCTTTGTCTCAATTTGCCACTAAGATAGTGTCATCTGAGTGATTACTCTGAATTTTAAGAGCTATATAGGTCTAAGAAGTGAATCACAGTACATGTCAGTCCTTTCTCAATAAATGTAATACCAGAGTGTGTTATGACTGTATTGACTTTTTATGGTAGATCTGTTAATAGAAAAAAAAGAAATACATTGAATTAAGTAGAGTTATCTGTATGTTAAAATAGAGCACTTACCTAGAGCTGGGTGTCCTGGATCGCTGTCTAGCCAATCCTGTGTTCCTGTGTTGTGTGACTTTGGACAAGGCACTCCATCTCTCTGAGCCTCCATTTCACCATCTGTAAAATAAGGGGCTTGAAGTAGCTGATGGCTGATACCCTCCTGTTCTGTCCAGTGGCCTACCCCTCTACTGGTCCTGCCAACATGTTGGTGCTATACGCTGCTTCAAAATAAAATCAGTTTGTCTATTGTGTGTGCTCATTTAATAGCTTATGAAAGGCCTTTTTGTTATATGGCTTTTTTTTCTAGTTTTATGAACTTGATTACAGTAATAAAGTCTTGTTTGTAGCCATGTAACTATAAACTTATTCTCTTGATGTCTCAGTAAATTTGCATTTGATATATTAGTTGATGGGATTGTTGTTTTAGGACATTCTTTGACTACTTATCTGTCCAGCATCTTATTAACCTAAATATTGTGATCGTTGTTTGGAAATCTGTTCTCTGGAAAGAATAAAAGCATTTACTTCACAGCTAATGTGTTTGCAGATTTGAAAAACAGTTTCATTAAAGCACCATTGCTCTCTTTACTGGGTCTGGCTCATTGAATCTTCCTACCCATATTTTGCTCAGTAAACTAACAGTAGACCAGTTCTCTTCCCTTTTTCCTGCATTCATTCAGTTAACGTTTTCTGAGTACCTGCTAAGAGCCAGGTATGGAACTAAAGCTCTGATTATACTCAGAATAAGGCTTACACTAGCCTGTGAGAAGCTCACAGTCTAGAACAAAGAAGATGGGAATGACTCGTATATAAACTAATAGTACCATGTGCAACGTGCCTGAACTCAGGGCAACACAGTGCCGTGAAAGCCCAGAGGAAGGAGGGCTGCCTCTACCTCTGCAAAGTCTTGACAAGGCTTCCAAGGGAGGTAGTGTTTGAGCCAGGTCTTGAAAGATAAAGAAACCCTGCAGTCTTGGGAGGGAATTGCAGGAGGAGAAAAGTGAGCTCAAAGGTAGTGTGCAGAGGATCTCCCATACCCCTTACCCACCCAGCAACAGGAAGAGGGTGGAAGTTGTTAAGGAGTGGTGGTGTGATGATTCACTATGTGTCGAAGGCTGTTTCCCATCCTGAGACCTGACAATGACCATGGAAACAGATAACAGATGGAAAGGTCATCAGATTTGATGATTCATACTCACCAAGTGTTTGCTGAAGGTACCCTGCCTCCTGCCCAGTCCCTCCCTCCAGGGCTGGGATTCCCTCAGAGACAGAGGGAGGGACGACACCATCCAAAGAGCCACCGGAAGGGAGAAGGCAGCCAACAAGGTTATGGCCTGGGCAAGCCACAGAGCTGTTTCCTGCTTCGAAAGACCAGCACTCACGCACTCTCCAGAGAGTCAGGGCAAAGATTGCCACTCAACCCTTTCTAGGAAAGGACTGAAGCGTTTAGACACTGCAGTCATGAAAAATAGGCAGCAACTGACCAGCACTTTCATGGTTCAAACCAAATTACCATAAGTTCCTGTGATTTGCAATGGAAGATGATTGTATTGGGAGGTGGTAGATGGGATATGGGTAGGCCTTCCCTGATGATTCAGCAGGTAGAATTCACCTGCAATGCAGGAGACAGAGGAGACGCAGGTTCAATCCCTGGGTCGGGAAGATGCCCTGGAGGAGGAAACAGCAGCTCACTCCAGTATTCTAGCCTGGGTAACCCCATGGACAGAGGAGCCTGGCGGGCTACAGTCCATGGGGTCGCAAGAGTCAGACATGACTGAGCAACTAAGAGCACAACATGCATAGGGGAGAGGATAATGAAGTGAGAAGACTATAAGGAAATATGGC